TTGTACTGTATAAAAACCATTACGCCTATGGAGAGTCCCCGTAAATCACATATGCCAACAGGTGTGTGTGTGTGTGTAAATTGGGTTTGTGGAGGTATGTCAAAACAGACAGTCAGTCTCACATTTCTTACAAATCTTATTTGTACTTGTGAGCTTGTGCTTAAGGACCTTCAAAAGATCTTCAAGTTTCAATGTAAGCTAAACGTTTTAACTGCTATTTGTTTTGAAGAAGAAAGCCCATCTCGGTGTTTCCCACCCCCTGAAAACCACCCCTCACTTGCAAGCAAAATAGAGCAAGCAAGCAGATCAGGAAACACACCTGACCACACTGTAAACATACATATGGGTGCAAAACAGCATGGATGCATGCACTGAAGTACATTAGTTAATGTCCTGTTTCTAATGATCAAACATTCTGTTGTAGGATTCAATCAAGCATGGAGTACAAGAATGAAAATGCTGGTATAGACCTGCTTCTTGCTCACATGAACATTGAAGACTTCATCCAAGAGGCAGAGAATTTCTTCTGTGTTTGCGAGGAGGTGGAACCAGTAGTTTCATTTGAGGAAAGTTTCTCGCAAGAAGATATGGATGAGATTGAGGAGACGCCACAGGATTTAATCTCACATGTGCAAAATCCCGGAAAGGTCCGTTATGGGACAGCATCCGACCTCCTGGACTTTGTAAATATGATTTCAAACACACCGTCCTCCTCTCTCTTAGAGGTGGGTGAAGAAATGGGGGTTCTGCTAAACAAGGTAAGCTCTATTGGTGGTTATTTTGACAGATCCATAACATATACAGCTGCAATATACAGTACAATGTTAAAGCATTATGTAAGTGAATGAATTTTTTACACTGTGAGATTTTTGGCTCAATCAAAGCAACTCATATTTGTACATACAGCAAGTAAAGGAGGGTTTACTTGTTTTACAAGTTGTTATAGCCTTACTCTCATGAACGCCCTGCTTTGTTCCTGCAGACAGATATGGTCATTAAGGAGGGGCATTATCGCATTGACTTGGATGTCCTTCTGTTTCCGTGGAAACTAACCTACAAGCCTCCAGGCCCTGGACATGTTCCCAAAGGCTCATTTGGGAAGGTCCATCTGGCTCAGGACATCAAAACTCGGAAGCGAATGGCATGCAAACTAGTAAGTCCGGGAATCCAGAGAACGTTTGTTTAATGAATCTCAACTTTTTTTTTTTTTTTTTTTTGTTTTTTTTTTGGCAAAGGTAGTTGTTTTTTTATTCCACTAGGAGGTTTTAATGGACATGACTTCCCTTCTCCCTTCTGGTGTTCTTTTATGAGTAAAGCAAAATCATATTTTGTACTGTTTGTTCAAAACACTATGTTGAAAACAATTTAATAACTGCAGAAAGGAAGGATTTCAAGCATAAAGTCAGTCATTAAGTAAACATACACTCCTCACGTGAAAATAGAAGACAGAAGATACATGATACTGCATGATGTGTCCTTGTGATGATCTTATGCACCAGCATGTGAGGCCAACAAGGCTTTATGTACAATGGAAAAATAATGGCTCTGAAAAGAGAAACACTTCTTGTAGAAACTGTAGCAGCAATAAGAGAATATTTTTAAATGGGGAAGAGCACTTTTGGGAAATAACCCAATTTCCTTAAAATGTTTAGAGGGTCAGTGTGCAGCATGCAGTGTTTGAACAGAAACTGCGAATGGTTGTAACGCACACAGGAAGCTGACAGGAACACCCCCGTGGAAACATGCAGCCCACAGAGACAGTGTCTCAACTGTGTGGCAGAGTGCAGATGTCTAACGTTTCAAACTTGTGGTCAGTTTAACCGGTTGTTGCTGACTTGTACAGAAATATTCACCCTCTTATTGTGGCCTTTAACATTTTGATCAAATAATTAGTAATTAGGGGTCAGGGTGGTTGATGTCCTGTATAATCAATTATTATAACTGTTGTTTGATGTAGCATTATGTGGCGACTTTTATGTGTCACTGAATCGTTAATTTAACCGATTTGTTCAAGAACACTTATTCTTTATGAGTGAGTCATTACATCATTCACTCAACCGATTCGTTCAAAAACAGTGATTTATTCAGGAACGCTGCTCTATGTGAGTCTTGGAGACACTTAACTGCAGACTCAATGACAAAGACATTCTCTTGTCACTAACACTGGCATATGCAATAAAATCTGATTAAAAATAATCTATAAAATGATTAAATCTATTAAATTATTTTGTAAAGTAACTTAATTTATTTTACAAAATTTTTTTCTCAAAATCTGCTAAAAAATGTGCATTATCCATTGACGAAAATATTGGTAGATTTCTGAACTACTGCTAATTGTTTAAGTGGGCATGAATATAATATTAAACACCCAAAACAGAGAAATATATAATCAACCTGGTGTATATATCAATCTGTAACTACTAGTAATTCAGTACTTAGGAAATTGGTGTGGTAGTGTGATTCTTGTAATTAATATTGTGAATATAAATGGGGAAATCTGTAGATCATAAATAGAAAGACTGCACATATATTACAGGGTTGCTTCCACCTTCTCTAAGCCATCTGTATTTTGTCTTTCTTGTCAAATTATTTGCATATGGGAATGCTTAAAGGGGTCATATGATGCGATTTAAATTTTTCCTTTCTCTTTGGAGTGTTACAAGCTCTTGGTGCATAAAGAAGGTCTGTAAAGTTGCAAAGACTAAAGTCTCAAATCCAAAGAGATATTCTTTATAAAAGTTAAGAGTCAACCACGCCTAGTCGCTCCGGCCGGACAGGGCATCACAGTATGGTAAAGGCATAACATTTCCGTCACACGCTTGAGGTATTGGGCCAATCACAACGCACTGGATAGCTGGCCAATCAGAGCACACCTCCCTTTTCAGAATGATGAGCTTTGTTAGAATTGACATGTTTCAGAAAGAAGAGCAACAATAATGTACTGTATATGGAAAATAACATATTTTCTTAACCTTAAACCGCATAAACACATTGCATTACACCAAATACACAAAATAATGTTCTTTTTAGCAATGTCATATGACCCCTTTAAATAGCATCTTTTATACATATAAGTATAATGAGCAAGCTCATTTTTGGTGCACTTCCATAATGTCTGAAATGTATAAGTTAGGTGTACTTTCTCTCCAGATTCCTGTGGAACATTTCAAGCCTGCAGAGGTGGAAATCCAAGCCCGGTTCCGGCACGAAAACATAGCAGAGCTGTATGGGGCATTGCTGTGGGAGCAGACAGTGCGTTTGTTCATGGAAGCAGGTGAAGGGGGCTCGGTTCTGGAGAAGCTGGATAGCTGTGGTCCAATGAGAGAGTTCGAGATCATTTGGGTCTCTCAGCAGGTTCTGCGAGGCCTGGAGTACTTGCACTCTCACAAGATTATACACCACGACATCAAACGTAAGTGCTTTGGATTGCATCATAAAGGTTTTTTTTTCTGAAATATCACTGCAGTTTCCTGCCAAACAGATTGTTTATGACCATTTTACCTCAGCTGCTCTGAATTTAATTTTCAAAACACATTTCAAAAGAAGGGTCAAAAGCAGTTCAGGATTTTTTTTCATTGCAAACCACACACACACACACACACACACACACAAACA